TTTTATTTGTTCTTGTTTCTAATGTCTCTGTAAAGCACTTTGAATCACCTTGTTGTTGAATTGTGCTATACAAATAAACTTGCCTTGCCTTGCCTTGCCTTTTGCCCTATTGGATAGTAATAGTGAAGAGGGCTGCAGAACAGACCTGAACCCGGGCCAGCCGCTCTCAGCCATATGGCATATCGTCGGCTACTTAGATCTCTTATCTTGAGCTATATTTAAGCATTTCAAATTATTTCCACCTACAAGATTAAACATCATTAATCCATAACTTTGATTATAATGTTTATTATTCTGTATAATGAGTATGATTGCTTCACGTACTTTAATTATATTTGCCTAAATCTTTAGTACTCTTAATCTATTTCAGTAAGATAGCGGCTTTTACTTAAGTTAAAGTTTAGAGAGAAAAAAGGAGGCTTGAGTGTGTAGGAACCTTCGTTTTCTTGTACTGAGTTTCAGGGGGGAACAAAACAAAGATCGGACTCACTGGCATGTAGCTTATGGAGACGATGCCCATCCCTCGGTATGTTTTTTGCGAACCGTGTTGTGTTCTATGAATTTTGAGGAGCCATAAGCTGACAAATGGAGGATCTCAGCGTTTAATAAACTCACTGGAGCGCGAATCTGAGCCGCCAATGAAGCTAAAACACGAAGATACGGAAGTAAATGTGGAGGGGCTGCCGCAGGAAGGCAGGGTGAACATCGGTGCTACCTTCCCCAGGTGGAAAGCACTGAAGAGGGACAAATGTTTCCAGACTGACGCTGAACTTGCGTGTTTTCTGCTGGACAGGTAACCTCTGCTACCTATGGGGGAAATATCTTAACCCCGTTGGGATACAGATTGTACGTATGATGCTCTAAAAGTTTAAACTCAGACTTGGGGTGTAACAGGTGTAAATGCGTCATGCTGCTTTTCTCGGGTATATGTATCAGTGTGAGGTGAAGTGACTCTGGTATAAAGGGCAGATTGGAGCCAGTTTTTAACTCTGAAGATTTTGTGCTCAGCCTGTTCAGCATCAGCTGCGACAATAACTTTCATATGAAGGACTGATTGGGGCCAGTTTTCAGCTCAGGAGGTTTATAGACAAATATGTTGGGAGTCCAAAAGCAGCATAATTTCATTTAGCAGGAAAGTAGGGTTTAAGTGTTTTGGGTTCTTGTTCATAACTAAAAGCAAAGTGGAGTGGGAGAAAGATAGGTAGATGCCTTAACCCAGACCTTCCCAAAGTGTGTGTGTGTGTGTGTGTGGGGGGGGGGGGGGGGGGGGCGGGGGGGGGGGGGGGGGGGGGATGCAGATCATGCAAGAAGATGCATGCATCGCAAGTTATGAAAGGGCGGGGGGGGGGAACCAAAAGCTTGGACACTGCTAGCACGGGGCACCTACAGAAACGCAAAGCAGGAGATGAAGCATGAATATGTTTCCAAACCAACTTCATTCTAAGCCAAAGACTAGAAAATATGGTAAGCAAATCTTCCCTTTGGTTTCACCTGCACAAGTGCCGAGGTAGGTCTCCCTGCAGAATTGGTTTTCCCTTCGTCAGGAGCAGCTCTGGGCTCTTCAAATCATGGACAAACAGTATCCCACATTCTTGATTTTTATTTCACAAACACTTGTTGTAATGGCTAACTACTGGTGACATTTTGGAGATGACAGTTCTTTATACAGTAAAGTTACAGCGGGATGCAAATAATATCAGACTGATCCTGCCACGATTTGTTCCCCCGGTTCAAATCACGGACAAACAGGATCCTACAGCTGTTTATGTTTTTAAACCCATTTTGCACAGAGAGGCATTTTAAAAAAAATGTATTGATAGCAATGTTGAATATTATTACACAGGAAAAAAAACAACTACAGTAAAATAATCACACCGTGATGCCTCTGTCTTTGTAAATGGAGGGACAGTAACTGCGTGTGTATGTAAGCGTGTAAAACCTGCAGATAGTCAGATTAACAGTATTTTGTCTCTATCTGCCTTTCTGCGATTCAACTCATGTAAACAATAACGTGACGCACAGCGTGACGTGAAAAAGGCACATACCTTTGATGTTGTGTGACAAACTCTGTATTCCTCCTCCACACGTAAACGCAAAAAAGGAGTTTTAAAAAATCTCCGTTTTCGGTGATTCATGCCGTTTACGTGTGGACGAAACAGCTGCGTTTTCAAAAATACCCGTGTAGGCGTGGACGTAGCGTAAAAGAGTTAGTAGTTTATTTTCTTACTACCTGTAGTTTATTGCACATTACTTGTATTTGCTTAATTGTTTACTAAATGTTTGAGGTGTGAAATAAACCGCAATGGAGCAAAATATGTGTGGTTGGAGGATGTGTTTGTGCGTGTGTGTGCATGCGCGCGTGCACTCACGCGCGGGGGGGGCGAACATTTTTCTTGTAAAACAAAGGGGGGCCTAGCAAAAAAAGTTTGGGAACCACTGCACTAATAACTTTTTTTCTGTTTTCTTCTCCTTTAAGAAAAAAAAAAGCTTTTCCAAAAACACATTCAGAGTCATGCAAAAAAAAAAAAAGCAATTTCCCCAAAAGATGTTTCATGTTGTATTTTACTGACACAGTCCTGAAGTGACAAAGCACAGATCTCTATATGTGTGGACTTTCCTTCATATCAGACACAAAACTGATGCTGTACATTCACAGTGTGTGTCTTTTTATCTGTCCGTCATTGTTATTTATTCCTGTTTTTTGCACACATGAGTCCATTGTTCCTTTTAGTATAAATCATAATTAAAATAAATGGTATGTGACTTTAAGACATATCCTGTTGTTTTTCTTTATTCAGCTATGAGAGAAGTGCCACACCATCGTCTGCTATGAATGGAAAATTTTCAGATCTTCAGCAGCTGTTGCCAGTTAAAGAAGAGGTTCGCTGGAGTCCCAGTCTGGACCAGCAGGACACAGACCTTCATCACAAAAATGAGGTACGTGAGGGAGAACAGTTTGATGGCCTGGTTGAAGCTGATATCACCAGGTTTCCAATTAGTCCTGTGAAGAGTGAAGATGATGATGAGAAACCTGACTCCTTGCAGCTTCATCAAAGGCCTCTGACCAGCTGCTCAGATAAACAAATGAAAGCAGAAACTGATGGAGAGGACTGTGGAGGACCAGGATCAGCCACTGACCCAAACCCACAACAGAGTCCTGATTCTCTTGAGATGGAAGTCAGCTTTGGTGATAAATTGCATAAACCTGAAATTGAAGACAGTTATGATGGTAGAAAGAAGAGCAGGACACTTGAGTCAGGCAAAAATGAAGATCTGGAATTTAACAGTGCCAACACATCCTTCAACTGCTCTGACTGTGGTAAACATTTCCTTTATAGGCAAACTCTTCAGAGACATGTGACAAGTCATTTGGGAAAAAGGACAAATAAAAAATGTTTTAAAATGAAGCAAAATCCACATTCACAGATGGCGGGCCACAAAGAAGAGAGACTGTTTGATTGTGATGTCTGTGGACATAAATTTAAGAGAGAAGCAAATCTTACAACACACATTAGAGTTCACACAGGCGAGAAACCATTTAGCTGTAACATTTGTGGAAAAAAATTTAGACATCAGTATAATCTCTATAGACATTTGAAAATCCACACTGGAAAGAAATCATTTAGTTGTGCTGTTTGTAATAAAACATTTTCACAACGGTGGGACCTGAAAAGACACAAGATTGTCCACACAGGAGAGAAACCCTTTAACTGTAGTATGTGTGGCAAAAAATTTACACAGAGGAATCATTTTAAGAGACATATTAGGGTCCACACTGGGGAGAGACTGGTTGGTTGTGATGTCTGTGGTAAAAGATTTAACTGTAAGAAAAACCTAAAGACACACATGAAAGTTCACACAGGAGCAAAACCATACAGCTGTGATATTTGCAATAAAAGATTTTCACAACCAGGAATTTTGAAAAGACACAGGAGCATCCACACAGGAGTTAAGAGCCTTCGACCAGATGAACCAAGACGTCTTGGTTTGATGGCACTCGTGACACAATCAGCTGCTTCAGAAATGGTGCAGACACAAGTCTTGAACAGAGTAGGTAAGTGAAGCACATTCAATTGCATTTGTTGTAGCGTATTAACATATAACTCGTATGGGCTATCAAAACGCATTATTTTCACAATAGTGTATAGCAGGTAATTGTGCTTTCTTCCAAAGCATTAGGGATTTTCTGACAGTTGGGATTTACTCCAAAAATACACTGTCTGCAGCTGCATGACATTCTGGCTCTGACACGGCCAGGATGATGCTTCTCGTTCCAACAGATGTGTTTCACAAACATCCCAGAACTGACACACTGTTCCATTTGCTTAAAATAGACTTCTTTTTTTTTTTCTAACTGAAGCCATGTCAAGCTGTACAGATCAGTTGGGGAGGACAGGCAAATAGCCAGATGAGTGACAGGGAGAATGCAGTAAATATTGAAAATAAAAGAACCCACACATGCTAAATACTCCAGTCTATGGACATTTGTGTTTCTGGGTTCCCTGCAGATGGTCAGCAGACGTTCCTGATTAAAGAGGAGTTTCCCTTGAGCCCCTTTGTGGACCAGCAGGACTCAGACCTCTACCAGATAAAGGCAGAACAGAAGGAACTCTTCACCTGTCGCGAGGGAGAGCACTTTAATGGGCTGCAGGAAACTGATATTACCAGGTTTCCAGTCACTGCAATTCGAGTGAAAAGTGAAGATGATGAAGAGAAACCTTACTGCTCGCAACTTAATCAAGACAACAATGATTCCGAGCCTCCAAGCAGCTGCTCAGACAAACAAATAAAGTCAGAAACTGATGGAGGGCACTGTGGAGAGCCAGACCCTGACAAAAACCAGTCTGGTCATTTAAAACAAAATACTGATGGAAAAGTTTCTGACTCTTGTGAAACTGAAGTCAGTATTGATGATGATGATGATGATGATGATGATGATTGGCAGGAGCCTTTGACAGACTCTGGACCAGAAACTGAAGTCAGTAGTAATGGTGGGAAGGACAGCAGGGCTCTTGATTCAGGTTTAAAGTGTAAACGGTCTCTTCAGAAACATGTGATCAGTAGTTCAGGGAGAAGGTCTTCATGCTGTTTAGCTAATAAGAAATGCTTAAAAGTGAACCGAACTGATTTAGAAGGAATCCAAACAGAAGATAAACCATTTGGCTGTGATACTTGTGGACAAAGATTTAATCAAAATGCACATCTAAAGACCCACATGAGAATCCACACAGGAGAGAAACCATTCCGCTGTAACATTTGTGAAAAAATATTTAGACATCAATACAACCTTAACAGACACATGAGAGTCCACACGGGAGATAAACCATTTAGCTGTGGTGTTTGTGGACAAAAATTTAACCGTAACACAAATCTCAAGACGCATATGCGGATTCACACGGGGGAGAAACCATTTGGTTGTGGTCTTTGCAGTAAAAGATTTTCACAGCCTGGGGATCTGAAAAGACACATGAGTGTCCACACAGGTGAGAAACCATTCAAATGTAGCATTTGTAGTAAAAGATTTACGCAGAGGATTCATTACAAAAGTCACATGAGCGTTCACACAGGAGAAAGACCATTTGGTTGTGACTTGTGTGGCAAAACATTTAACAGAGAAGGAAATCTGAAAATCCACAAAAGAGTCCACACAGGGGAGAAACCTTTTGGTTGTGATATTTGTGGACAAAAATTTAACCAAAGCACAAATCTGAAGACACACATGAGAGTCCACTCTGGAGAAAAACCTTTCCACTGTAGCATTTGTGGAGAAAGATTCACGCGAGAGGGAAGTCTGAGGAGACACATGAGACGCCAGGGAATGAACCATTTGATTGTGGTGAAAAGTTTACATGACAGTAATCATAATGTAATTAAATGAATATTTTTTTAATATATGTTGACAAAACATATATAATGCAATGGTGGTTTTTCAGTATTTCTAATTATGTTATTTATTGTAAATCTGTAAATTATATAATACTAAACAATAAAACTGGGGGGAGAACTGGTCTGACAGTGCTTCCTTTTTTGTGGTTTCTACATTTCAAAAAAATGATTCATGTGTGCTGCTTGCAGGTTCTTGGAATTATGGCACTTCAAATAAATTTTAGTGTTAAAAAGGAAATGGAAGAAAGACTGGGATCTTTTCGTCATTGTTGCATGACAGAAATGCTTTCAGCAATTAAAATTTTATGATTTATCACACAAAGTAACCAGGTAAAGGTGCCGTTAGAAGGGTACGTTCTTTTTGCCAGAAACCTTTCCTGCAGCTTCCTTCAGTGCTAACATGTTATAGATTCAGTTGAATTTATATTCATATATTTTCAGTTTTCTAGGTTCAAGTTCCTAACCCTAAACCACAGGGGGAAGTTTGTTGGCTACAGAATCAGTTAGGTTTAGGAAAAAAAATAATGATTTGGGTTCAAATAAATTTTAGGGCTTTTTTGTGTCTGAAATTCTAAAAAGGCATTTTCTTTTTCAAATGTGTTTTGAGTGGCCAAATAGGCTAACAGATTTTGAATAGAGCCTCCGTAGTACTCTTCATAACATTTCAGCTGCTGCTCTACAAAAATAATTTTTACATTTAAAAAGACTACAGTGAATAAAGTCTCTGATGTATCCACAGGTCAGCCTGTGTGAAAAGACAGGGCTTATGTAAGTTAAAGCACTGATTATTGAGCAGTCTGTGCTTTTGCGACTATAGTTTTAGAACAGACAACAGGCATCTACATCAGTTCATATGATTCAGCCCTAAATATATGCTTTATCATATATTTATCACACTCACACCATTTAAATACTTTTAAATGGTGTGAGTGTGAAGTACTCTAATAGGGTGATATGGTACTATAAGAAAATGAGATGGGGCCTGATTATTTGAGACCTTGTATGTGAGAAGCAGAATTTTGAATTCTGGATGTAACAGGAAGCCAATACAGGAGAAATCTGCTCTCTCTTTCTAGTCCCTGTCAGGACTCTTGCTGCAGCATTTTGGATTAACTGAAGGCTTTTCAGGGAGTTTTTAGGACATCCTGATAATAATGATTTACAGTAGTCCAGCCTAGAAGTAATAAATCCATGAACTAGTTTTTCAGTATCACTCAAACACAGGATATTTTTAATTTTAGAGATATTGCACAAATTGAACAAAGCAGTCTTACATATTTTGTAATATGTGCATTGAAGGACATGTCCTGGTGAACAATGACTCCAAGGTTCCTCACAGCGTTACTGGAGGCCAAGGTAATGCCATCCAGAGTAAGAATCTGGTTAGATACCATATTTCTAAGATTTTCAGGGCTGAGTACAATAACCTCAGTTTGATCTGAATTTAAAAGCAGAAAGTTAGCGGCCATCCAGGTCTTTATGTCTTTAAGACATTCCTGCAGTTTAATTAATTGCTGTGTGTTATCTGGCTTCATGAATAGATAAATTTGGGTGCTATTCCTTCTGATGATACTGCCTAAGTCAGGGGTCTCGAACTCCAGTCCTCGAGGGCCGGTGTCCTGAAGGTGACTGTTGTTGTGATTTGGCGCTGTATGAACAATAGATGCACTAGAGGGGAAACAGCGGCACTGCCTCCAAAGCTGGAATGTTTTTACAGGGGGAAGTCATTCTTGTTTTTTTCCTCTACATCTTTTCTGACTGTCTTGAAACTTTTTCATGTGTCCCTGTTGCAACACACCTGAATACAATTAGTAAGACTCTATAGAACTTGACTGAATGCTGAGGTTGCTATTCAGCCATTTGATTCATGTTACAGCAGCTCATGAGTGAATGAACACGGTGCAATAAAAGTACTTTTAGAAAGAAATTTTTCCAAACACTTAAATTTACTTGTGTAGGGTTAGGGGTTTCCACTTCAGCATGCAGTCAAGTTCGTGAGTAAATCGCTTTGGCTGAGATTATAGTTTTAGTCATAGTTTTCACACAGCTGAGTAAACATGAAACAGAAAACTGATCAATTAGAAGTGTGAAATGGTAGAGGATTTACTCCAATGTCCTGTTATATATTAGCAAGCGAGGAGCAGATGGCTGAGTTTATTAAACTCCACCGAGACAGCTGGTGATGCAATTCTGAAGGCTAGACCATCCCATTTCACATCCTCGCCCTTCCAGCCTTCTCAGTCTTTGAAGGACCCGGCCCGTGTAGAGCACAAAGGCCGGGTCCTCCGAAGGATGCAGCCTAGTTTTTGGGACACAGCTACAGTGTACTTTCAAGAACAATTTCCTCTAGATTCATGTATGTCCAAATTCCTTTGGAAAAATAAACCCCCACGTA